AAAGACGATTATTGTACATAAATATGTGCATATGTACATATATGGATATGGATATACATGTCTACAAACTGAGGCACATTCGAAGGAGTAAAGCGCAAATGAAATCTACATAAAAATCAAATGTGAATTGCGCTTCGTAAATGTTTCAGTAGTAACAGATTTGCCTTCTGTTTCAAGAGTTTCCACTACGTCACTACGCATTTTATTTGTTTTTGTTTTCCTTTCGTGCATGGGAGTGTACGCAAAAGCATACATAGTACATACATACAACAATATTTTTTTTATGCATTAGAAAGTACACATGTGTGTATGCATGTACATTAGGCATATGACTGTCTTCTAAAATTAAATATACCTATGTATGATAGGATAAGGAATGATAAGAAACCAATAAAAAAATAACGCTTCAATAACTTTCAAACTTGATTTTCCAAAATTTTAATTTTCACACATTCATATTTCTGGCATACGGGCGGCGATATATGTATCAATGTGTGTAAATACGTATATGTTTCCATTCGATGCCAACCAAATCTTGATCGCGATTAAAAATTGGTTTCAAAATTTTATTTTATTCCGTTGACTTGGAATTATCCACATACACTACCCTGCAAAACTTTGGACTCACTTGGAAAAATATTTTTGGTCTGTATGGGCGGGTTGCTGCCAAAAAACCAATGTTGCGACCGGTAAACGTTCGTAAACGACTCAAATTGGCAAAAGAACATAAAATAGGTCTATCGAAGAGTGGAAACAGGTGTTATGGACCGATAAGTCCAAATTTGAAATTTTTGGTAGCAAACGGCGAATGTATTGCCGCAGAAAATCTATTGAACGGCACGCACCTCAATGTGTAAAACCAACAGTTAATTTTGGCGGTAGCAATGTGATGCTATAAAACGGTCTGATAACAATAATTAAAAGGATAAATACAAAAAAAAAAAAAGCAATGTTTCGAGTGAGTCGAAACTTTTGGTCTCTATGTACATTAAAAAGAATTTAGAAACCATTTTTTTATCGCAGTTTTAATTCGGTTGGCATGGAATTTTCATATAAATATACATAGATAGGCCTGTACATACATATGTATGTTTTTTTTTTAGCAAACAGTGCTGTCTCGGAGTGCCCTGCGGAATCTTTTTTTCGATGAAAAAGTTATTTTTGTTGTTTTTTCATATTCCTCATTTAATTTTAGGAAAAAGTCATATGCCTAATGCTTGTACGTTTGGCTTATGTTGTAAATAATTCGTCGGAGAGTATATGAGTTTTTATTTTTGTTTTTACTTTGCTTGTTCATGTGGCTTAAATTTTACATACAAAAGAATTTCAACAATCAACACAAAAATCTTCTTAAACACATGCGTTCAAATTTTAAAGCATATTTCTAGGCGCTGAACCATTCCTAGGAGTAGAAATATTTATGGGAAAATGCTGCTGGATTTTTAAAGGCAGAGTTAGAAGAAAAAACTAGCAATTTTCAAGCAAAAATCAAAACCGACTTCAATTCTCATATAAAAATTTAAGAGCAGCGTTGATTTCTTCATATTCTAATGATCGGATTTAAACCAAATTAGTATGGGACCACCTCTGAGGTAAAAAAAAAATATTCCGACAAATTGATAACCTGCTCCTTTTTTTGATGTAGTTAATAATGAAAATAGCAGCGGCACTTTTGCGTTCATTATAATAAAAATTATAATTTCGCCGTTAAAATTGCATTTCTATTTTTTTAGATCAAGATTACCAGTTTTTTTATTTTTATTTACGATAAAAAAAATCGTTATTTTATGACTTTGATGACTTTTGTCTTTGCGGCATATTATAACTATTATTTTCACATGTAATTTTTTAGATCATAAAAGATTTAAAACAGAACGCAGTGTCCATTATAAAGGTGAAAAAGGTCGGAAAAATTAAAATCCTAAATACTGATTATTTTTGATTAAAAAAAAAACTAAAAATAAATAAAAATCCCAAAATAACGATTAAATTCGATCAAAAACATAAAAATCAAAAAGTAAAGATCTCGAAATAAGAAAAAAATATCTTTTTAATTAACGGTAATTTTCGGTCTTTGAAAAATACATAGTTTTTAATGGCATTGGCTTAAGTACTTTGAAAAGCAACAATAATTATAAAAAAGTATAAACAAAAAAGCATATGCTGGCTAATGTAAACTAACTGACTCAGTGGAAAGATCAGGCTGTGGAGGGATGGCTTTCGTACAACTCCACATCGATCGACAACGTAAACCAAATATAACTCTCTAAAACTCTCTCTCTGGTCCTGTGTGCACTATCAACTTTTAAGTTTCTTTCGAAAACTACTACTCTATACAAATTGGTTGCCTTTTATGCGTCAAAAATACCCTACAGGTGTGTGCGTATGTATGTTTGTGAATGGCTTTTAGTTTTTACCAGCATTTTAAAAAATGCGAAAAAAGCTCTTTTTATGTATGTAAATATGTGCATTACAAGATCAACGATGCAAATACAAAAATGTATTGCTTTTTTTCAATTTAATTATTTCGCTAACTGTGATTTAACTGTATTGATGGAAAACAGTGTTCCATGGTTTAAGTAAGGTACAGTGAAAAAATAATTTCCGCAAGTTAAAATTTGCAAAGTTTTGCAATTATAAAAACTTCAAAACTAAACAAAAAATAATGTTTCCAATATTGGCGCATGGAAATTTGCAACGCTTGCGGCATAAACCCATCTGGGTGCTGTTTCTGGTGATTTTCTTTGTTATTGTTTTGGATAAGACAGCAACAGCGACGACCGAGAATGAAGTAACAACAACGCCAGAACCAGGTGAGTTAAGAGATGCTTACTGAAGTACCGTACTTGTTTATGTATGTATGTATGTATGTAGTTATGTGCTTTAGGAAAGTTGCAGTTAGCATTTGGCTTAACCCATATTCAGAATTTACATGGGCCATATGAGAATTATTACCATCGCAAAAAGAGTATACTCAGTGGGTGTCGCTACTTGTATGTATCAAAATAGTTGACACAGTTTCATTTATATATAATGAAATTTTATTCGGTAAAAAATATTTTTTTTGCAGTGTAGTTACATTAGACGGCGCACTGTCCCCAGAAGGAGTTGTCGAAATTTTTTAAAACGACGATTGGTTTATTTGTAGCAGTTACCCATTTAGGGGCGTTTTCTTAAGTAGCTTTTAAAACTTAGGAAACGTACCCGTACTACGTGAATCCCGATAAAAACTTTTTTCAAATTTCAATCATTTGTTCTGTTTCCGTTAAATGAGATATAACGATGAGATATTCGGCCCCATGCTGAATATCGTCATTGTCTGTTAAAGTGACGATACGGTCATCGTCAGCCATGTTACTGATACGCTGACGATCGTCGACGATGACGATATTCAGCATAGGGCCGATTGATATGAAATAGTTCTTTCGATTTCTCGCGAGAAATTGCTTCTCGAGCAAATATTGTTGGTGTATATGTACATACTTTTATTCCGACACATTTTTGAGAGAATCGCCACCTATAAAAATTATTTAAAAAAAAAAATGTATATATAGTATAAAGACTAGCTACAAAATATAGGTTGTTTATTTCTTTACTGAAATGGCCAGTTTAGTTGAAGTTCAAGTGCATGTTTTGGAACCTTGAGAAAATAATAAACGGTTTTTGTAAAATTTATTATTTTCGGTGATATTATTGGGGTATTCACAAGGGTGGCGTAAGTCTTATGTCATATGTAAGGGGTCCGAAAGTTATTATACTTAATAGACATATGGTAATTTTTCTCACTGCTAAAATATTTTTCGTTGTGATTACAAGTTCCGTAAACCTATATTTAACGGTTAGCAATTTTACAACTTAAGACAATACGACACTCTGTGAATCTTCAATATTTTCCTCCTCCTTTATCCTTTTTTGTTACACTTCAAATCATAACATTAAACCGAATTTTACGCGGGTGGAGCTGCGGGCAAAAGCTAGTGAAAAATAATTTTACGTTAGCACCAATATTAAAATAAAACAGACAAGCCGAAATTGACTGCTCCAAATGCGACACGAACACAAACCAAAATTGTGTTTAAGTATGTGGGTATGAATGTAAGTAGAAATAAATGAACAATACCACTGTCAGGTACCAAAACACGAAGCAGCGGGATGGCAGTGAATAAAGAATTGTAACAAACGCAATGAAGAAATGCACGCGGCAGAGGTGTAAATACATATATAATATTTTCTTTTTTTAATTATGCAAATAGAATTATTCACTTGAGGGCGCTGAATTGAATTTCACACAATTCATATCCAGGTAACAACGCACAAAGAGTCGCGTATAATAGATTCGTCAGCCTTCCTTACACAAGTCTTGAACCGCGCAAATTTTGGTGAATTATAATACAATTCTCATACAAAGAAGCATTTCAGCGGAAGGCGTTACAAAATAACCAAAACAGAAAAACTAGGTCGTAATTTAACCTTGGGTGACATGGCAACCTACTAACGTAGATTCGAATGCGACAAAGGAGTTCGGCTGTTAGACGTTGGCTGCCCTCAGATTTTTGCTAAAAATTTTCATAAACACCCAGCCGTTTTGTGCACTTGTGTCACTGGCTGACACAATAAAGCGTTAATTGCTCAAAACGCAATTGATTTATTGACAGAATCCGATATTAATAGTATTAATATACATACTACCAAATAATCCAAAAAACAACGATGGGTTTTAATACGATAAATATTGTCTGTACAGACGTAGCAGCAGTAATATCGATTAAACTTTGACCTTGAAGAG